TCCCAACCACAGAGCGAGTGCAGTGCACTCACGGCTATGGCTAGAATTGCTCTGGTGGAGAAGGAGTAGAATTATTTTTTGCCTTATCCTTGGCAGAAATTTATTTCCAAGCATTCTCCCTGGGAAAAGGAACATGAGAGGTAGTAAGAACAAGCTCATGCCTCGGCTCATTTTGTACAGAGAAATCTTGCTTTAAGGGAGCTTGAGAAGGAGGAACACACTCTTGTATAAACTCTCTTTGAATAGGAACTTCTTGATTTATCTCACTTATAGTTTAATTTGATGGAGGAACCTAGGGATGCTTAGAAACCCACATCTTCTTGCCATTCTTTTTAGGAGATTTATCAATTCCATGACCAAAATTTTTACGCTGAGTATATTTTGGAGTTATCCATTCATACTCTATACTCTAAAAGAATTCTTAACTATTTGGACTCTTAAGTGGAAGGATTTTTAGTAAATCAAATTATGCTCGAATCTCAACACAAATTTTTACAAGACCTATTCTCTCTTTACTAGCAGTCACGCCACCGGTGCATATAGATTTTCCTATAATACTTGCAATCCTACTTAGGGCCTTGCTATTCCACAAATTAGATCTACAGACCGAGGTTTAAGGATCATAAGTTTGTTATCAAAAGTCTAAGGCCCTTGTTGTAAAATAATTGTTCTCGGTTCAATAAATTCAAATTTGAAATGAAAAGTTCGTTAATCCATCATCAAGACTTTAATTATATCCACATCAATCCAATGTTTATCAATAAAATGTTTGGGTAGCCAACTGCAAGAGGATCCCACCATTGTGGGCTCTGGAAAGGGTCAGATGTACGCAGCCTTACCCCCGTATAAGAAGAGGCTGTTTTTTAGGATTTGACTCATGACCTCTAAGTCACAAGAACAACATTACCATTACGCCAAAGGCTTACCCTCCTTATCAATAAAATCTTTAATAGACAAGAAAAGATGCTTTAAAACCAAGTATATACCCAACTAAATCATCATCCCATTCCCTTAGATCCAGATCCCATTCTGCATTATCAAATTGAATATTTGACGAATCTCCAAATTGTTGCGGAAAAAAGGGAGATTAAGACCCCTTATTCTTTAATCTATTTGTAATTACAATTGTTGCCTAAGTCGTTGGTTTAGAAGCCACTGGAACCTCTCCTGAAGTTGTTGGATTGAAAATCTAAATAGAGATCAAATTGAAAGTTGAAAAGAAGAAATGCAAGTTGAGAAGATGAAATTGAAAGTGGAGGAGACGAAATGCAAGTTGAGGGTTGTGTGTGTGTTAGGGTGGGGGGGCATCTAAAAAAATTGGAGAAAAATCATGAAGCCCACAATATTAGTGAAGAGCAATCATGCGCCCACATTTTCACCCTTCAGATGGAACCCTCTTAGATTCATATAGGTTTAGAAGGAACCCTCTTAGATCTTACCTCTCTCTAGCCAGTATTAGGTTGTCTTTTTGGAGATTTATTCTTATTTCCAAATAGTTTAGCGGAAAAATCAGTAAATATATCCAGATCTCTTTCATGCACTGGGACAGTTTAAAAGCTATTTGAGGTGCTAGCATTGCTTGGCGGGGATCGCGAGTGCACATCACTCGCGTTGTAGCAGGGACATGTGTCCTTACATGACCTTGTAGAGGGCACATGTCCCAACCACAGAGCGAGTGCAGTGCACTCACGGCTATGGCTAGACTTGCTCTGGTGGAGAAGTAGTAGAATTATTTTTTGCCTTATCCTTGGCAAAAATTTATTTCCAAGCATTCTCCTTGGGAAAAGGAACATGAGGGGTAGTAAGAACAAGCTCATGCCTAGGCTCATTTTGTACAGAGAAATCTTGCTTTAAGGGAGCTTGAGAAGGAGGAACACACTCTTGCCTAAACTCTCTTTGAATAGGAACTTCTTGATTTATCTCACTTATAGTTTTATTTGATGGAGGAACCTAGGGATGCATAGAAACCCACATCTTCTTCCCATTCTTTTTAGGAGATTTATCAATTCCATGACCAAAATTTTTACGCTGAGTATATTTTGGAGTTATCCCTTCATACTCTATACTCTAAAAGAATTCTTAACTATTTGGACTCTTAAGTGGAAGGATTTTTAGTAAATCAAATTATGCTCGAATCTCAACACAAATTTTTACAAGACCTATTCTCTCTTTACTAGCAGTCACGCCACCGGTGCATATAGATTTTCCTATAGTACTTGCAATCCTACTTAGGGCCTTGCTATTCCACATATTAGATGTTTAGACCGAGGTTTAAGAATCATAAGTTTGTTATCAAAAGTCTAAGGCCCTTGTTGTAAAATAATTGTTCTCAGTTCAATAAATTCAAATTTAAAATGAAAAGTTCTTTAATCCATCATCAAGACTTTAATTATATCCACATTAATCCAATGTTTATCAATAAAATGTTTGGGTAGCCCACTGCAAGAGGATCCCACCACTGTGTGCTCTGGAAAGGGTCAGATGTACGCAGCCTTACCCCCGTATACGAAGAGGCTATTTTTCAGGATTTGACTCATGACCTCTAAGTCACAAGAACAACATTACCATTACGCCAAAGGCTTACCCTCCTTATCAATAAAATCTTTAATAGCCAAGAAAAGATGCTTTAAAACCAAATATATACAAAGGCTTACCCTCCTTATCAATAAAATCTTTAATAGCCAAGAAAAGATGCTTTAAAACCAAATATATACCCAACTAAATCATCATCCCATTCAAAATCTTTAATAGCCAAGAAAAGATGCTTTAAAACCAAATATATACCCAACTAAATCATCATCCCATTTCCTTAGATCCAGATCCCATTCCGCATTATCAAATTGAATATTTGACGAATCTCCAAATTGTTGCGAAAAAAAGGGAGATTAAGACCCCTTATTCTTTAATATATTTGTAATTACAATTGTTGACTAAGTCATTGCTTTAGAAGCCACTGGAACCTCTCCTGAAGTTGTTGGATTCAAAATCTAAATAGAGATTAAATTAAAAGTTGAAAAGAAGAAATGCAAGTTAAGAAGATGAAATTGAAAGTGGAGGAGACGAAATGCAAGTTGAGGGTTGTGTGTGTTTTAGGGGGGGTGGGGAATCTAAAAAAATTGGAGAAAAATCATGAAGCCCACAATATTAGTGAAGAGCAATCGTGCACCCACATTTTCACCCTTCAGAAGGAACCCTCTTAGATTCATATAGGTTTAGAAGGAACCCTCTTAGATCTTACCTCTCTCTAGTCAGTATTAGGTTGTTTTGTTGGAGATTTCTTCTTATTTCCAAATAGTTGAGCGGAAAAATCAATAAATATATCCAGATCTCTGTCATGCATTGGGACAGTTTTAAAGCTATTAGAGGTGCTAACATTGATTGGTGGGGAGAGGAATGCTAGTTTCAGTCGGGAGTGCACATCACTCGCGCTGTAGTAGGGACATGTGTCCTTACATGTCCTTGTAGAGGGCACATGTCCCAACCACAGAGCGAGTGCAGTGCACTCACGGCTATGGCTAGAATTGCTCTGGTGGAGAAGGAGTAGAATTATTTTTTGCCTTATCCTTGGCAGAAATTTATTTCCAAGCATTCTCCCTGGGAAAAGGAACATGAAAGTAGTAAGAACAAGCTCTTGCCTAGGCTCTTTTTGAACAGAGAAATCTTGCTTTAAGGGAGCTTGAGAAGGAGGAACACACTCTTGCCTAAACTCTCTATGAATAGGAACTTCTTGATTTATCTCACTTATAGTTTCATTTGATGGAGGAACCTAGGGATACTTAGAAACCCACATCTTCTTCCCATTCTTTTTAGGAGATTTATGAATTCCATGACCAAAATTTTTACGCTGAGTATATTTTGGAATTATCCATTCATACTCTATACTCTAAAAGAATTCTTAACTATTTGGACTCTTAAGTGGAAGGATTTTTAGTAAATCAAATTATGCTCGAATCTCAACACAAATTTTTACAAGACTTATTCTATCTTTACTAGCACCGGTGCATATAGATTTTCCTATAGTACTTGTAATCCTACTTAGGGCCTTGCTATTCCACAAATTAGATCTACAGACCGAGGTTTAAGGATCATAAGTTTGTTATCAAAAGTCTAAGGCCCTTAATGTAAAATAATTGTTCTCAGTTAAATAAATTCAAATTTTAAATGAAAAGTTCTTTAATCCATCATCAAGACTTCAATTATATCCACATCAATCCAATGTTTATCAATAAAATGTTTGGGTAGCCCACTGCAAGAGGATCCCACCATTGTGGGCTCTGGAGAGGGTCAGATGTACGCAGCCTTACCCACGCATATGAAGAGGCTGTTTTTAGGATTTGAGTCATGACCTCTAAGTAACAAGGCAACAACATATATTACCATATACGCCAAGGCTCAGCCTCCTTATCAATAAAATCTTTAATAGCCAAGAAAAGATGCTTTAAAACCAAATATATACCCAACTAAAGCATCATCCCATTCCCTTAGATCCAGATCCCATTCTGCATTATCAAATTGATTATTTGACGAATCTCCAAATTGTTGCAGAAAAAAAGAGAGATTAAGACCCCTTATTCTTTAATCTATTTGTAGTTACAATTGTTGCCCAAGTCGTTGCTTTAGAAGCCACTGGAACCTCTCATGAAGTAGTTGGATTCAAAATCTAAATAGAGAATAAATTGAAAGTGGAAAAGAAGAAATGCAAGTTGGGAAGATAAAATTAAAAGTGGAGGAGACGAAATGCAAGTTGAGGGTTGTGTGTGTGTTGGGTGGGGGGGATCTAAAAAAATTGGGGAAAAATTATGAATTGCACAATATTAGTGAAGAGCAATCGTGCGCCCACATTTTCACCCTTCAGACTCTCTCAAGTTTAGTGCTACAACTAGCAGAGATATTCTATAGAAAGTATGCGTGGGTTCTAATATGTTATCTTAAGGATCGATTGAAGTGGTTAGTTAAGGAGCCATATGGAGGATATTTCTCTCACTTTCTGACAAATATGGTTGAAATACAAAGAAGTTTCAATTTTATTCAAAAAGCTAATAGATACATTCAACATGAATTTCACCCACAAACCTGCTGCCTTATGTAATAAATCAATTCACAATCAAACAAACACATTCACATAATAGAAAGCATTCGCAAGAAAACTTAAATCGCACATATTTCTTCAATATCCTACGGGCACTTGTGCTCGCCTCCACGAGTAGTCATCGTTGCATAACACGGGCATGAATCTTCATTGCCATAAGTGCCCTTAGGCACGCACTTGCACCTTGCACAACAAGTCCCGCAAGCTCTCTTGCAGAGGTTTGGCCTCGAAGATTTGCTACACCTTATCGCGCATAGTCCCCCGCAGTCTAAAGTTGAAGAATGAATTGAAAATGAATTAGTACTAATTATGTTATCGCTTTCAAATTAATTTGTATGCATGCAGCACTGTAATAGAGCTGAGAAACGTACTTAATCCTCCGGCAGTAGACGTTTCGCCAACTAGAGATCCTTCTAGAACCCTGTGCGCGTCAGCGAGATGGCTAGCGAGAACAATCAAGATAAGCGAGGCAAGAAGAAAGCGAGAAGAAGCCATTGGAGAGAACTAAAGATTTAATTAAGGGGAATTCTTTTGTGTGTGATATGAACTATAATGCCATAGTAGTGGCCCTATATATAGAGGGAATTGAAAAGGTTGTGCATGTTAATAATTGGGAAGGTGCATGCAAAGTTTAGTTGCAACTCGAGCATGATACATAATTGCAAGCGTGTGGGGCTTGTGGGATGATTTTGCTGACCAACTTGATGTAAGTTGATTTCTAAACGAGTCAGCAAAATTAAGGAGATTATTTAGAGTATACGTAGCTACGCTGAGTTCTTACAATCTTTGTTTTTTCTTTATGGTTGGTGTCAGAGCCCAGCTAGACAAAGTTGGACAGGTCTGTTATTTTATGTAGGATCAAACTTGTTAGAGTTTAGCTATTATTGATCTTCAATTTCTCTTTGTTTTGTTGATCATAAGATATTATAGTGCATTTGTATTATTAGCGGGTCCATATTTTCATTGGAAGTGTAACAACTCCATTATCTTGTACAATAATGATGAAGGTTAAGGTTATCAAATGTTCGTTACCTTTACTCCAAAATAATTGCTCTTTTATACTAGCATGCCTTACTGGCTATGGAAATGAGAACTCGTTCAATTAATACTCCATGGTGAGACATGAGTTGGAAAGAGAGTGGGTTTTTTTTTTTTTTTTTTTTTTTTTTTTGGTTGGGGGGTGGGGGATGGGGGGCAAAGATTATGGTCTTTTAGTATGATCTGGTACCTGTAGTTGGTAGGCTCTCTGGATTTTAGTAAAATTACAATTGGAAAATATCATAAATCTTGAAGGGTTTTAGTCAAAGACATTTACCTTTTTAATAAGAAACTTTTTTTGCATGTTCTGAACTTGTCAATTGTCAAATTATATAGGGCTTTTTCCCCCTAGAAGCCACCATTAAAATAGGGCTATTACATGAAAACCAAATTTCGTTTTCAATTTATATATATAAACCAGAACATTTAAGGGTTTTTTTGTGCAATTTGGTTTCACTTTTAAGTCAAAGTTTTTTTAATTTTTCGATTATCCACACACTATCACCTAGAGAGGAAATGTAGTGCATATTAATACTTCATGTTATCCAATTGAATCAACAATCCAAATCTATCCAAATGATCACATATTAATTAAAGATTTGGCTTAAAAAGGATACAACTGACATTGTCGTCTTTCCACAGTAGAAAGTTCTTTTATTTTGTACAACTCAACTATTGAATCTTTAGATAGAATTGACAATTTGTTTAATCTAAACTATCTTGCCTTCGTGCTTCCTGTGAGAATGCAATTACTTTCTTTCTCTTTGATGTTAGACTTAATTTTTGTGGATATTTTTGCATGTGCATGATGCTTTAATATAAACAAAAAATGTTGGTTAATTATATATTCCATTTCCACAATATCTGAAGTAAGAATACATAGGACCATCCTCATGGTTTTTTTTTCAAATTAGAAACAATTTTTTAAACATAAATACAATCAATTTCATTCGAAAAGTTCATAGGTGTACACATTTAATTTGAAGTAGACCAGTTAGCCAGCCTTATTTAAATAATGTAGAGTTGGCGAAAAATTCCAAGAAAAGAATCTGAGAAGGCTTCTGGAGATTTGGCGGTCGACTGCACATGGTGCTGCGGTCGACCGCACCAGAGCCAGAAACATAGTTCGGCTCTGGACTTTTGGCGGGCGACCGCAGCACTATGTGCGGTCGACGATTGAGCCCAGGACTTTTCCTGGTCTCTAGACAATTTGCGGTTGACCGACATTGTCACTGCGGTCGACCGCCTATCGGGTTTTGGGTCTGGGTTAGTTTCCAGACCCGGTTTTCTTGTGAGTTGTATATAAACCCCAAACTCGATTTTAGGGTTAAGTTTTGGAGGTTTTGAGCTGCTAAAGGGGATTTTCTAGGGCTTCTTTTGTTGGAGTCTATTGGAGAGATCAAGTGATCTTGTTTGAGGGTTGTGGGTAAGATTTGTAACCCTAACTTGTATTCCCCTTGATTTCTATTAGTAAAACTCCCCCCTCCTTGCCTCGTGGACGTAGGCACATTGCCGAACCACGTATATCTTGTATTCTTGCTGTTATTGGTTGGCTTGTGTTCATTTGTGGTCTACTATTGTTCTTGTGTGTGCTTTTGTATTATCGATTTGGGCTTCCGCGGCGCACAACAAGTGGTATCAGAGCTCCGGGTTGGATTTGGGAGTTTTTTTTTGTTCGAAGGATTCACCGTTGGATTCTTGTTTGAAGAGTAGATCTACAATATGGTTGAAACAAGCAGGGTTAGTTCAAGTGCTACTAGTTGGATTCTTGTTTGAAGAGTAGATCTACAATATGGTTGAAACAAGCAGGGTTAGTTCAAGTGCTACTAGTACATCGGGGTCGGCTTTGACAAAGGTACAATATGGTTGAAACAAGCAGGGTTAGTTCAAGTGCTACTAGTACATCGGGGTCGGCTTTGACAAAGGCGATCCAAAATTTGAGCATCAACAACACTAAAATTAATGTTCCAAAGTTCGACGGAAAGATTAACTTTGGTTTATGGAGGTGTCAAGTAATGGACGCCTTAGATGCACAAAATTTGGAGGAGACTCTTGAGTTTTAAGAGAAACCCGAGGAGATTGATGATAGGGTTTGGAAGAAAATGCACAGCAGGGCTTGTGGGGTTATTCGGTCATGCCTAACGCCGGATCTCATTTATGATGTGTTAAATGAGACGTCGGCAAAGAGATTGTGGGAAACGCTCAATGAAAAATATTTGACGAAGAGCATTGAGAATCGGCTTCACTTGAAGAAAATGTTCTACCAATTCAAGATGAAGAGGGGAGTTTCCATTCGGGAGCATGTAAACAACTTCACAAAGCTAATTTTGGATATGGCCAATGTAGATATCATGGTGGAGGATGAAGACAAGGCGATATTATTATTGTGTTCGTTGCCGGATAATGAGTTTAGTACTTTTGTTCTCACTATGATAAAGGGTGAACTACGGTTAGCTACAAGGAGGTGACCTCGGCATTGGTGAATTATGAACTGAGGAAGAATGATTGTGAGCCATCCGAGAAGGCATCGCGTGATGAATTAGCCGTTCGTGGTCGTAGTCCAAACCGTCAAAGGTTCAACCGCTCAAAATCAAAGAATAGGGGTGGCCATAAAAGTGTTGGTAGAAATCAATGTGCCTTTTGCAAAGAAGAGGGACATTGGAAGAATGAATGCCCAAAGTTGAAGGATAGAGCCGGGAAACAAAAGGGGAAAGCTGTACAAGCTTCAGAGGTAAATGTTGCTAAGGTTGTTGGCGACACTTCAGATTTGGATTCTTCCGGTTATTCTTGTCCCGTACTGCCGTCAGTTTGTTATGCCGACTCTACGGAATGGATGTTTGATTCGGGAGCTACATTTCATATTTTTCCTAAGAGGGATTGGTTTACCAACTTTGAGGAGTTGAAGAGAGGAGACGTTGTGCTCATGGGGAACAATCACGTTTTTCCTTTAGTGGGATTGGCTCAGTCAGAATCAGAATGCATGACGGGGTGAGTAGGGAATTGAAAGAAGTGAGGTTCGTGCCGCAATTGACGAAGAAGCTCATTTCTCTTGGGACTTTGGAGGCATCCGGCTATAGAGTGATCTTAGAAGATGCTAGTTTGAAGGTCATGAAGGGGTCCATGGTGGTGATGCGAGGTGTCAGAGAAAACAACCTATACTACTTGAAGAGAAAGACAGTTACAGGGGGTCTGGCTGCTTCTATCACCACAGAGGAGGACACTACCACACTATGGCACATGAGGCTTGGACACACAGGTGATAAGTCCCTACAGTCATTGGCAAAACAGGGGCTATTGAAAGGTGCAAAGACCTGCAAGATGGAGCTGTGTGAGCATTGCATACTTGGGAAGAAGACTAAAGTGAAGTTCGGCACCGCTATTCACAAAACCCAAGGTATATTAGATTATATTCACACGGATGTTTGGGGTCTATCCAAGCACACATCGCTTGGTGGGGAAAATTATTTTGTCACTTTCATTAATGATTATTTCAGGAGGAATTGGGTATATACCATGAAGCATAAACATAAGGTCCTGAATATATTTGTGGAGTGGAAGAAGAAAGTGGAGCTGCAGACAGGTAGAAAGGTGAAGACTCTTCGTTCAGACAACGGAGGAGAGTATAAGAGTGATCCATTTCTGCAGTTTTACCGGGATCACGACATTAAAAGAAATTTCACAGTTAGAGAGATACCGTAACAGAATAGGGTGGCAGAGAGGCTGAACCGTACCTTGCTGGAGAAGGTGCGATGTATGATGACGCAGAGTGGATTGGCTAGATCCTTTTGGACCGAGGCGTTAGTTTATGCGAGCCATCTCGTTAACAGGTTGTCGTGCACTACGATAGAGGGGAAGACTCCTATAGAGCGTTGGTCTGGTTATGTGGCTAGTGATTATGATACTCTTCGGATATTTGGGTGTCCAGCTTATTTCCATGTGAGTGATGGGAAGTTGAATCCGAGAGCGAGAAAGTCTATGTTTGTGGGATTTAGAGAAGGTGTCAAAGGCTTCAAATTATGGGATCCACAAGACAAGAAGATGGTCATTAGCAGAGATGTCACATTTGATGAGGCGTACATGATGAAGCCTCGAGTTCCTCAGCAGGTGGAGGAAGATCAGACAGGATGGATATCGCAGCAAGTGGAGGATGATGTGACTCCACCCACTCCAGTCAGTACTGTGTCCGTTGAGACTCCTACAAAGGTGGCACTGGAAGAAGATGAGATGACAGTCGGGCATTTGGAGGATACAGTTGATGGTGAGGCTCAGGAGCAGGGTCATGCTTAGGGGTCCATTGCAGCAGATAGACCGAGGAGAGAGATTCGTCGGCCAGCTAGATACGATGATGTCATGGTGGCATATGCTTTATCTGTGGAGGTCGTTGATGATTTTATTCCTGTCACATTCAGGGAGGCAGAGTCCAGCTCTGATTCCATTAGGTAGAGGAATGCTATGGAGGAGGAGATGCAATCTCTTCAGAAGAACGACACTTGGGAACTTGCACAGCTACCT